AATAATCCAAGGTTAAAACCCTATGCACTCACACTAACTGCTCTTCAATATTAAAAAAAGTCATCATTTGCACCCCCTTAATGTGATGATACACTTCCAAATATAATATTTTTATTTCAGCATCATTAAATTCTTATGTATCATTTATCTGTTGTAGAAAAATGGCTACACTTGAATGTCTGTTCTTCTAAAAAATCATACACACACCAAACAACATATGCAAACAAGTAACCAAAAAAAAAATGAAATAAAAAAATAAAATTCTTAATTATTTAATAATTAAAACTTAATCATATAATTATAGTGGTCTTTGCTCTGTCATTTAAATGATGATTAGGATGAGAAAAGTTATACTTGATCCTTTGAAGAACCATGAATAAGCCATATACACACAATTGGATATTTTAATTAATATATTTTCAATTTTAAAAAAGTAAACATTGAAGCAAGTAAGATGATGACGTTTGAATTTTTCAGCCAAGAAGTAAATCCAAACATCTCTGGGAAGGACTCATCATCATCTCAATTGTCTACAGGATCCAGTGAGAGTGACAGTGAGAGCTCAGACGTGGACGGAACGAGTGTGACCGAGACATCAGTGGACTCAGATAGCGAGATCAAGTATAAGGTATGAGTGGACTCAGATAGTGAGATCAAGTATAAGGTATGAGTCACTCTCTACCATTGGCTCATACATTCACCTCTGTCGTTGGCTCGCCTGTATCACAGTGATAAACACGAGAAATAATGCGTTTGTTTTAATTCATTATAAATGAATTTATATGCTTATGTTTGAGTTTTGAGATAGATATTTACTAAATCAATCCAGAACTATTAAATAAAATTGAAAATCTGGCAAATATCACGTTTTATACGTTATGTCAAAAATCTTGACGTGAGCCCACTGCAGAGGTGTCTGAGAGAGGAACGAGCGATAACTCTGCATTGGAGATTGGGTATGAGTGTCACTCAGATGGCGAGATCAAGTATAAGGTATGAGACAGATCTAGAACATGTAGAAAGAGTGTAATAGAAACTCATAGGATTTCGAGTTTCAGGTATAATGAGACTGTGTTGGTCTCTGCAAGATCAGTTTGTAATTATGAAGGTAAATATACATGTATTATAAGAGTCAGTTTAGTTTGTTGGTGATAGGTAGGATTAATAGAATTTGAATTTGAAAGGAAAATTCTAAATTAAAAGATCACAGATTTTAAAAAAAAAAAGGAAACTAAGAGAAAATTGAAAGACCTTATCCTTTAATAACTGGGACAGGATAGAATAACAATTATTAAACTTAATAATTGCTTTCATGTTGAAAAATGTTGATTTCTGAAAAAAATGTTATTTTGTTATTGTTCACAGGGATTCCAAAGTATAAAGACTTCAGGGCGACAGTTTCCATCTTATTCCCAGGATTATGGACAAGAACTCCACAAGTATACACCCAATCACAAAGATACATGGATGTATGAAAGGTAAGGATTGGATGTATTATGTATCCAATCACAAACGTTAAGACATAAGGATGTATGAGGGATAAATATTGAATATAGTGTATATTAAATGACAACGACACATGGATATATGTAAGGTAATTACATGTTACATATTATAAGTAGTATTACCTAATCACAGAGACATATTATGGATGTCAGTATTTACAATGTACATCATTTTCATCAGGCATGCCAGAAACTAAAAACTGAAGTTAGATTGTTCAAATATATTATCATGGTACTTCACCTACTTACATCATTGATTGATGGTCTGCAAAGTATGAGATAAAAATAAAGTCTTACTTGATGTTGATTTTTTTTTCAAATATTCTGCTCTATTGTAATAGATTGATAATTGGTACATGTATATGGTACATGTATCTGTATGATTTTAGTATATTTTTTCCTTTTCATTCCTTCACTATATCCTAGATTAATCGCTTATCGAGTTCTTAATATGAATGTCAACATGAAACTTATCTGCTTAAACTTGGTCAAAATATGGACTTGAAATTGAATCTAGGATGAATCCATTAGTTTACAGTATATTAATATGTGGGAATAACTGATTGAGGGAATTCTTTTCTTATATGTGTAGATATGTGAAGATCAGTGAAGTTTGTCAGACCCCACCAAAGAAAGAAGAAAAAGGAGTGACAACAGGCAGTATTATGGAGAACTTAGTGTGAGTATCTCATAGAGAAAGAAGTTACAACAGGCAGTATTATAGAGAACTTAGTGTGAGTATATTATAGAGAAAGGAATGACAACAGGCAGTATTATAGAGAACTTAGTGTGAGTATGTTATAGAGAAAGAAGTTACAACAGGCAGTATTATAGAGAACTTAGTGTGAGTATCTCATAGAGAAAGAAGTTACAACAGGCAGTATTATAGAGAACTTAGTGTGAGTATATTGTAGAGAAAGGAATGACAACAGGCAGTATTATAGAGAACTTAGTGTGAGTATATTAGAGAAAGGAATGACAACTGGCAGTATTATAGAGAACTTCGTATGAGTATATTATAGAGAAAAGAGAACCTGTGTGAGAATGACACTTTCTCATACAGAAAAGAGTTATTATAGAGAACTTGTTTGAGAATGTCATAATGGCACAGGCTGAAGGGGGGAGGGGTATCAACAGGTAGTATGATAGAGAACTTAGTGTTTGTCACTTAGAGAGAAAAAAGTAATAACTTGCAATATTTATAGAGTACTTAATGTTTGTCACAGAGATATGTATAAAAACTGCCAGTAATATAGAAAACTTAGTGTGAGTGCCATACAGAAATAAGTGACAAATGGAGGTATTATAGATAAAGTGGGAGTGTGTTAAGTTTGTCAATAGATAATTTTGCATTAGGCAGTACATTTATTTTTCATGTTAATCATTTATTTTTTGCCTTCAGAAAATGATACTTGTAAATTAAAGTAATTCAACAATTAACAACATGTATTACTCGTTGTTTTAGGTTCCCCAAGAGTGTGTTTAAGCTGGGCAGTAGCTATGGAGTAGAACCACCTCCTGTTAACAAGCAGGACCAGGACATATACAACCATTTTGTTTTAGTTGGTTCCCATGGTCCAGGGGAACCAAGCAAAAAGGAGATACAGTTCTACAACAAATACCTTAACAAGTTTCATTGACCACAGGAAGTTAAATTTTAATGTGAGTGCTGAAGAAAATACATGTACAATAAAACATCATTATCTCCACAAAAAAAAAAAACTGGGTGATCATTGGTTGCATGTCCTAAGCAGACCAAAAGTACAGTTTTCTGAAACTTAATTGAAGCAAGAAAAAACTGGAGAGATCAAGGGTAGAAAACTTAAGGAACAGGATATTGGGACTTCCAAATTACTTGGATATAACCATGGTATTAAAAATATAGGTGTTAGAGATGCTGAAGTTTAACTGTTAATGCAGTTTCTCTACATGTCTGAAGAAGGTAATACATTGACAATCAAGTCAATTCTAGAAACTTAGTAAGCTTCAGTAGAATCATCAGTGGTCTTGGGGGACCTCCTGTGTTTGTGGATTTTGTTGGTCACAAATTCCATGAATTTACACCCCCACAAACAAATCTTTTGTCCATATTTTTATCTTCTTTGTATATGAGGTACCTTAAAAGAACTAGGTTCTTATGAACCAAGAAAATGTTGCATACCCCTAAACATTTACCCCAAGGAATTCAATGATTCCACAGTGTGTGTTGAGATGCAACATTTACTTTAATTTGCTTTGGCTCACCATTGCACATGTAAGTGTAGGTTATAGCCTTGAAGGAAAAATGTGTTAATGCAGGCAATGGGATTTTTTTCTCAAAAGACATCAATAAATGCTATTCTGAACCTTGAATAAAGAAATCTAATATGTAAATGTTTAACCAAGCTCAGTATGAGTCTTTTAGTGCCATATTGTTTTTATTTACTTAAGTGTGTGCAATATTAATTATTGTTATTTTTTAACATTTGTTACAATATTTGTAAAAAATAAAGAAATTGTTTATAACTTCATTTGTTTTTGACCTTATTAGATAAGATTTAGATGATACACATTTATTGGCTGAGTTCAAGGGCAACAAACTAAGGGAAAATAATAAGACAAATAAAATTTCATCAGAAGAGGCCCATGGGCCACAATGCTCACCTGAGTAACTTTGGCCTGGTTGTTCCTCACCAGATTTTCCCCCTTGTAATACCTTTTGTGGCCCAACACCATCCCTTGGGTCATGATTTGAACATTTAGAATGTACACTACTCCAAGATAATTCCACATAAGTTTTAAATTTTTTTCTGGCCCAGTGGTTCTTGAGAAGATTTTAAAAAATTTACCTATATGTTTAAATGTAAAACTTTGATTCCCCATTATGGCCCTACCCTAACCCTGGGGGTCGATCATGATTTTAACAATTTAGAATCTACCCTAATATAGGGTATTTCCACATAAGTTTCAACTTTCCTGGCCCAGTGGTGCTTGGGATGAACATTTTAAAGATTTTTCTAATATACAACAGGTGATCAGAAAAGGTCACAGAAGCTTTCAGCTTAGGTTAGCGAAAAAGTAAATGTGTTTGTAAAACACTGAATCAGATGCTTTTCCAACGTCATTCATGTGCATGTATATATATTGATACTTAAAGAAAGGTCATCTCACAAGAAATTCACATGTTAAATATAAAACCCTTATCACTAATCGTTCAAAAGTAATGATCAACTTCAAGTTTTTTCAGAAGGCAGTTAGCTCCAATTTCATAAGGTAGCAAATTCGGCATGCAAGGAAAGGTCTGGTCAACAAAAAAACACTTTTTAAATATGAAAGCCTTAGTACCAATTTATGGCCAAGGTTAAAGGTTTTTATAATAAAAATGTCTGTATCCAAGAAAAGGTCTTGTAGTACGGACTATTTCTAAATGCACTTCTGAAGAGTGAAATTCTTGGGCACTATATATTGGTAGATTAATTTTTGGGAAAGTTTTAAGTTAGGCAAAAATTTTCAAAAGTTAGTCAAAAGTCATAGTTTAAAGTAGAGTTTTAAAAATTGCTGTTTTTAAGGTGTTTGAACAAGTGTTAAACAAGTTTGTTTTCCATTTTTATTGCAGTTGTATACATGCAAGCATAAAATATACAGTGCATATGATTTAGGTCTTTCTAGGAAATATGATTATATATAATAAAAAATATAACACTTAAAGCTTCCTTGTATATAACTTTTACATCATTCATACAAACAGATGTAACATATACAATGTATAGACATTTGAAACTTAATTTTAACTTCCTTCAAGTTAGTAGGCGTGTTCGGTGCATTTTACATGGACATGTAAATCTAGACTACAGCAACAAGGTGGGAGAATTAACATTGACAACCATAAGGATCACTGGATAAATCATGAATTCTTCCATTGGTTATGCCGTTGCGGAATGCAATTCTTATTTTTCACATGCACTGTCATTCAATACTTCCATAATTGTAATTTTTCTGTGCTTAGGATTTCTTGGAAACGCTCAAGTGTTGTACCTTTACAAATACAAGATGCCGCAAACAGAGGAACGGTTCTTCATACCACATTTAGCTGTGGCTGATCTGCTTTCCTCTGTGTGTTTAGCTTCACTAGGAATTACTATTAACTTCCATTACATTCATTTTCCACATGAAGTCTTGTGTCAATTTCTTCATTATATTTCTTGGGTGACAACATCCTGGTCAGCCTTTATCCTTTTGATGATTTCAATCAGCAGATATCTGAAGATTTGTCGTCCAAATGGAAGACAGATGTCAATTTTCGCCAAGAAATGCGCCGTAGGCTGTTGTCTGATTTTTGCAATCATTAACACAGTTCCGGTTGGATATTTTGCTGGAAATCGATATCAGGATGTAAGTTGTTTGCAAAACAATGTTACAGTGAAGATGTGCGAATTGAGGGAGTTTAAAGGAACAACACACATATTAAAAATGGTTTATATTTTCTTTGAAATATTTGTTCTTTTTTCCAATGTTGGGATCACTGCCGCATTGTATATTCCAATTGGCCTTCAGATTTTCCGGCGATTTAAAGGAAAAACTGATGCAAAATTTACTTACCATGTAAATGATGTACAAAGCGAAGTAAAAATAGATTCAGCAGATGATGAATTAGGGTTCTCAAAAGAAATATCTGCGACATACATAGAAATGACTAGTGTAGGTCCATTGAACAAAACCGAGTCTAACGCCGAGGAGATGTCAATTGAGAGGAAAGATAACAAATCACCAGATAATTTTGATTCAGAAGTGGGAATAAAAGTCGTGAAATCGGAAATTAAAGGAACGGAAAATTCAAACACTAAAACTGGCCTTGATAATGAAATAAGGGCAAACCAAGGTTCTCTGTCGGATACTGGGAATTCCAGCCAAACCCCGGGAAAAAAGTCAGATGTCAATACAACTGGAAAAAAGAAACCAAGCATTCGAAAGAAAAGGAATAAAAATGTCAGAAATAACTTCACTTACATGTTTATTACTATTATTGTATTTTATATTTTATCATATCTTCCAACACTCGTGACTATACTCTTGGCAACGAACGATCCATTCTATTTCTGGTATTCAATGGATGTTGTCACTTTGAATGTTGTAATGTTAATGAGAAGATCATCTATTATTAACCACATTGTTAATCCTATCATCTATGGATACTTTGATTTAACATTCAGAAAAGCGTTTTTTAAGTTTCTCAGAAAAATACGCAAATAGATTTAGCAGTAATAACAAAGACACAAGTCTTATTTTTGTACAAAAGTATGCGGATAAAGTACAATACAAGGACTCTGAAGGAGGCATATTTTTATTACGGACACGAATATATGTTTATTTTTTTGACTTGGAAAATCATTCTCTGTGCGGATAAATTAAAAAAGATGACCAAACACATGCAAGTTTATCTACCCAAACTAAAATACAAGCAATGAAAATAGTTTTTCTAAGTCTCAGTATATGTCTTTATATAGTGTACCCCGTACATGTATAAATACCTGCCAAACATCTCATTGATATCCCAAATCACAAAAAAAATCGTAACACCTTTTTGTGACATTTTGAAAATCTAATATATTTTGGAGATCTGTGAAATAAGTTGTAATGGTTTATGTTGAAAAAAAAAAACTTTTCTGATAATATTCAAACTATACGCATTGAGCTTTATTACAAATCTCAGTTAACCTTGGACTTTCAGTAAGGCGTGGAATAGTCGACGTTATACGATAAGCGTGTGAAGTGTAAGCAGCCAATCATTCGCTGTTGAAATATACATTCGGACGAATGTCAACGAGTCTAGCAATATTCCAATGATAGGTTTTTCGTACGACAAAGAGCTGAAGAGATGGGGTAAAAGTCGTCTCATCGCTGTGAACACGAATTTAAAGTTGTTAATGTTATTAATTTCTTAACCAATGAAAATCAATTTGCCATTTGAGAGACGCTAAATAAGTATTGTCTTTATAAAAAAGTCCAAGGTTAAGTGAGAACTAAACTAAATGTGGACTGTAGTAACTTTTGTTTGATCAACTTGTGGTCGTGTCTGATGTTGAAACAAAAATGTAATAACCATGTCAGGAGTGCAACAGAAAAAATGTTTTGTTGACATTGTTTGTTAAAATCTGAAAGACAATTAATTCAAAAAGAAGTGTACATTTAAAACTTATATATTCACGCAGCATTTATGGGAGTCAAGCATTAGTCTTGCCCGGCCCCCAGCATGAAAAAAAAAACTTTTATCAACATAATTATGATGTTCTGATTTTCACTTTGGAAAATAAAGCCACAAAGAACATTTTTACCGTAAGATCTTTCATGCAATCACATGGTCTTTGTTTGTTTCAGATCTATATTTTTCTGGTCAGGAGTGAAACACGTCTTTTAAAAGGTATTATGAAACGACTTCGGTTCATGCCAGAAAGTATCCATTAATCATTAACATGATTAATGATCTTTCTGTATAATATAGTAATGTAGCTTGTAAATTTTTATTATTATATTATTGTAGGAACATTGTCAACTTTCCTATATCTTCATAAATGGAATAAAGAACATTTAAATAAAAACACAATCACCGTGTTACACTTCTATCGAGTTCCATGAAAATATATTATATATATTGGTCGGAAATACACCACTAGAATTATCTGGATGTGGACATGCTGCATTTATCAGTGTTTATACCTTACATGTAGTTGTGTGGCGTGACCGTGTGTACTTTGCAAGATAAAGGACATAATACAACCATAGACACTATATGTATGAGTAAAAAAAAAAAACCTAAATTTATCCTTGATATGAGTGAAAGAAATATTGGAATGATAATTTTTAAGCAGTGTATAACAGGTGTAATTGTTGCATTCATCTTTGGATCTATTTTCATTTTCGATGCGACGTTAAGGGATTTCCTACGAGAAGCAAGGATTCGGGACGAACAGTTAGCTTTTCTTAAGCAAAAAGTCAACAAATACGATGAAGAGGTTTCGCTTCTGAAAGGGAAAAACAAGGAATTTCAACAATTGTTAACACATCTGAACAAAGAATTATTACTTATTCAACAGAACAATACAGGTAAGCGAAAACAGTTACAGAAAGTGGACACACTAGATATATTGCAGGATCAAATGACACAACATCAGATTTAAATGTCCAAGCATTGTTTTTACATATATTTGTAAATCAACCTAGATATTTCATGGGAATGAATTTCTGTCATGTTTGTTTATTTTGTTAAAAAAAAAATTCCAATTAAAAGGTGTCATGAAAAATAACTTATTCATGCTGGATACATATAATAGAATTTAATAGAAGTCTGACACTAAATTATTTTTGTGCTCAATTTTAAAATACACTGAAAATATCGAATATAAAAGAACGATCGAAGTTGCTTTAAAAAAAATATATATATATTCATTTTTTTTTAAAAATCAGATGTAACTTTGTTGTTACAAGTTCATGTATGTTTATTTCTACTTGGGAACCTTAGCACTATAAATGACAAAATGACAAACACATTGAAAAAATAAACCGAAGTAAAACAATTGATAGAACATAATTTTAAACTTGATTCAATGAAAAATATTTTACTATCAAATCAAAATTTCTTATCACAAAATACTGATACTAATAATAATAATAATAAAATCATTGTATTCAAACTTAAAACACTGCATCGATGTGGCTCGAATCCAGCGACAAACTATTGTATCTACAGGGAAACTATGTACGAAGCTAGTGTTTAAATCATTATTTCAAGCCAAAGCCCTATACAGTTGGACTTAGTCAATTTTCTGCCAGAGAATAAATGGGAAAAAGTTTAGAATTTGGTATTTGTAGATCATCTCTTCATTTTTTTAAACAACTAGAATATATTTTACGGTTAAAAATACACTGATAGCGCATTTAAAATTCATGAAGGAGAGAAGACCCAGAAACAAGAAAATTTGTGAAAAACGATTATAAAAAAGTCGATTTTTGCATCATTTGACACGTACGGTCTCATTCAGGTGCATATTCACTAAAAACAAACATATTCAACTGAATATTTACCAATATTGCATTCAACTACAACACAACCAATGGCTAGGTTTTGAAAAAAAATATTGAATTAATGATATTTTTAATTCTTTTTATGGGCCACTATCCCTGTCGAATTGCCATGACTAAAGCACAAACTTTCTTTTGTTACCGTATGGGCAGAATATTTAGCGAGGATTTAATTTTGGCATTATTAGCGGGGGTGCCAAGATCGCCAAAATTTAATATCCCTAAAAATTTATTGTGTTATGTTTGTAGTATTTACCTGCTTCGGTCAGCATTTTAATATCGCTATAATTACATCTCTCTAAAAATAAATACCAGTTTTTAAGGACAAATCGCTAAATTTGAGTCTCGCTTAAATTTCCAATAATACGGTATAACATTGTTTTAATGAAATCGAGAAATAACATCTGCCATGAGAAAGGGATATTTGGTGGTACATTTAATAAATCGAGGACCAGGAAAGGAAGAAAAAAACTTACACTGTTAAAGAAAATCAACAAATGTTAAAATTGAATATACATGTGTTGTATTTTGAAATACACAGTAAATAATATATTGGTTGAATCTGTCTATCAGTTAAAAATTGACTCAATGAAAAACTGGAATATTCTTTACTCAAACAGAATACATATATACACATGTATATCTACCTACATTGTTCAACGCGAGTTCAGGTCAATCTAACATGATTAACTTCTGGGGTTTTATTTGGATTTACCACTTGACCAGCCATAAATCTACATGTACTGTCAATTTATTAGATCTCAAAGGAGAAGCAAGGATTCGGGACGAACAGTTAGCTATTCTTAAGCAGAAGATGAACAAACATGATGAAAAGTTTCCTCTACTACAAGAGAAAAACAACGAATTACACCTTTTCTTAACGCAACTGAAGGACGAATCATCGCTGATTAAAAAGACAGGTAAGTGGGAAAATATCATGTAATTTTTATATTGATTGATAAAATCGAGGAACAACATGTAATATTGAGAGGGGTATTGTTTTGGTAAATGAGTTGGAAATCACAATGGGACAAATGCCTACATATACTATAAAAAAATAAATTTTGAAATTAAGTACCATACAGTCATCTACTTTAAAATAACCAGTCAAATAATCATAAAATTCAAATGTTTTACAGAGAAAGTATATTTCAAAACAACAAAACAGAAACAAAATATACACGTTATAATCTTTAAAACATCATACATGGGATAAATGTAATATAACAGAAAAATTTATGTAATTTTGATAATAGATATACGTTTAAAATCATATACAATTAAAGACCTAATGTGGGAATAATGCTTCTGGTGAAACGTTCCTTGTGGGTTTTAGATTTCCTACGTCGACCGCCATAAATGTGTCTTTTGTTACGTCTAGAAAATGTTTATTTTTGTTTAACTTTATCAAATAAAAAAACAGATTTAGTGTGCATTTTTCTGACAAATATCAAATTTCTTTTGAATGATTAATTATATTAATGAAAAAAATTCACCTCTTTCGTTGGAATCACGTATACACAGTGTTAAACACGAGAAATAGTAAAATGTTTTAATTCATTACAATTCAATTTCTGTGTTATGTATATTTTGAGATAGATATTTATTTTCAATCCAAAACTATTAATTTAAATTGAAACAATTCTTCAATATCACGTTTTATACGGTATGTCAAAAATCTTGCGTGAGCCCCCGAGAGGATATGTCTGAGAGAGGAACGACACGACAACATTTTAACAATGTTGAGGAGATAGAAAAAATATAACAAACCTGCCTTGGAAGAGATGGAAGGGGACCAGGCTGAAAAAACATTAGAATTCCAAATTCGTTGAATACGCATGCTCGGCTTCATGGTCGTGCATTTGGGAAAACTGTGAAAACTATCTATAGATAACGTACGATAAGAATTTCGTAATTTCATTCAAAACTATGTTTATTTATTGTGTAGCTTACAGTTTAAAGATAACTACATATATATAAATATATATAAATTGCTATACTTCAAATTTCCTTTTTTCTGACGGAGAAGCCCGAGTCATTATCTGATTATATTTAAACAAATATATATTTTTTTTTTCATCTAAGCAAAACCAAAGATATATACTTATTTCTAATTGGTCAATTCAGCCAATCTGAAAAATTCAAAGAAACAAGAATCTACACTAAAATAACGAATAAATCCTTTATTTATAAAACAAAAAAAATCTGATGTGCATGGCTTTTAAAAACCTAATAGTTCTTGAAAAGATGAAATGACCAAAAAGGACCAAGCTACTTCACAACTTCACATTCGGAACTCTCTTGATTTCTTCATACAACATAAACTTTAAGTTATTTCTATATTCCTTTCAACTTACCTGAATTTTTTTTTGCTACATTGCCACGATATTCTATTCTTAAATCATCTCATACAATGCCTTGAGCAATCGGCATCTTCACCAAATTATATAGAGTAAAAAGAATGTGTTCCGTCTTCCGTTGGGCCAAAACTCCATTAGGTCAACACAAAAACTTCAACCCCCCATGTTTCTTTACCTATGTGTGACTGTCTATACAATACACTTAACAAAAACAATTATAACTGTATCACACTCCAGCCTCGATAGAAATTAAAGAATTCAGCAGAATAAATCACTTGATAACGGCCCTTCCTTTCTTTGTTTTAAAATTGCTACGGCGCTAGCTCATCTATCTGTTTAAAATTTAAGATAAACTTGTCATTTTCCGCCGACGCGCTTACGCGTCGTTATCACAAAAGGAGGAATATCACGTGACGTCCTTTCCGCCAATGAAAATTACGAAAATAATCTTATATAATATTGTTTGTTAGGTTACAGCTTCTAATAACATTTATTGTAATTGTATCTTATTGTATCTTTCATATTTTTTTTTTTCGTTTTCATTGATCTTTTACTTTTTTCTCATTAAAGGGATCGCCGTTTTAAGTTTAAAGTGTGCAAGCTGCTGAGAAGATAAAGAATTTTTGATAAACTTTTTTGTGACTCTTTGATCAATACTTTGTTATATTTTCACGCAAAACAATTTGGTTCTGAGTAAAAGAGTGTTCCATGAATGCATTTTTTTCATTGCAGCATTATAGTCATAAGACGTTTAGGATAGAAATATATATATTCCTATCCTATAGATAAAGTTCAATGTTATGTATGTGTAGTAATGTATTTCATTTGAAAATTATGTTATTACATAAATGAGATTTTGTGTTTTTTTTCTTTATTGTTTTTAAGGTTAGAATGCATCTAGCCTAACGTATTTGTTATTGCTTTTTAAAGTGAATCGTTTATCTAGATGCTATAATTACAATTTCTGAAAAGAGGTAAAATATTGATAACACAAGACTACTACATATGTAGTATGAACGGCTTTGTTCAAAGACGTTAACATTATTACGCAAGTTCTGTGTTCGATAGAATAACTTTTTTAACAAATACATTTGTACAATCAATCGTTTGGTCAAATGTTTACCGATGTTTTTTCACACTTATTGTTTTACCGTCATTTACACACAGAATTGCCTGAGGATTTCTCTTTAACTATATGATATGTTAGATATGTAATTCCAGATCATATTTTTTTTATCTGTAGATTAGTTGTGAATACAACCTTTATCATATGAGGATAAAATTTGCGGTAAAAAAAGTCTTAAATATTATAATATCTGTATAAAATTTTATCAAATAGAAGTAAAAATATTGTATGAAAATAAAGAAGGTGATACATTTGATAATATTTCATATGTATGACGCATCCCCTGTTTAATATATGCCGTGCCCTGGAATATAACTATTTGCAATTTTTTTTTTCTTTAAATATCAAGAATTTTACAATTATTTAATACTATACAGATTCAAAACTGTATTTATTTCTTTTTAAAATTTATGTTAAATTTATAAATTAGTAGAAATTATTTAAAACTGGTAAATTTCAGCTGGAATGCAATTTAAGACTAACTCCAGTCATTTGAAACTAGAGGTACTGTGAGCAATGGGCTCACTAAATGATACCCCCCGCCTCCCATATGTGTATAAATGGCAGTGTCCATGTTTTGCTATGGGAAACCCAAAATATGTGTCGGATCAAAAAGTAAAATAGGAGGTGCACAATGGCAATATGTAATAAAGATTTTGTGAAAGTTTCATCAAATTTCATTCAGTGGTATAAGAGGAGTTGCGGATAAGAGATGGGTACCCCAAAGCGTAACAGACGGACGGACGGACAGACGGACGGACGGAATTAACGATTACTATATACCCTCCCGCTTTTCAAGCGGAGGGTATAATAAAAAGGAAATCGAAATAATGACTAAAGCCCCATAGAATTGAGGAATTCTTTGTCGTTTTGACTGATTAAAAAACTGTGTAAGAAAACGCGGAAGTTAAAAAAAAAACAGCTTTTCTGGTATTTACACATTTTTTGTGAATCTTGATCTCAAGGTACGAATGTCCCTAAAAACTACCATTTTCAGGACATACGCAACATAGTTTGAACTTTTCTGTCTTTTCCCAAGGAGTTGAAGACTTCTAATACTGAAGGAAATGTGTGCTTTGTCAAAATGTTCATATATGGTGTTTTACGCTTCTTTCAATATAAGTGTTGATTGAAATAACCTGTAGAATGTATATGTAGTAATTTTTAGATAATTATGTTTTTTTTTAAATCATCCTAGAATTTTCATGAATTGATATGATCTTTCAATAAAGCATCGTAATGCATGCTGATTTTTGTCTGTGAACTTGTATGACACTATAATTTTATATTAAGAATTATTTGAAAAGCTATCAGTAGGTAAGGTACGTTAATCCTTTGACTGCAACTCTTAAATACTTCATATCTTTATTTATTGAAGGAAGTTGTTTTAGTCCAATGTTATTGTAAAAAACGAGATAGCAAATAACCAATTTAGTGTTTTAATTGCAAATTTGAAGCAAATGGAAATAAATTTTCAAAGAAAACGCATGAGTGCCGCTCATCACTTACATGCACATCCCTGACAAATCTAGAGACTCGAAACTAATCTAGTGGATTTCGGTTGTGTGATATCGGAGATTTACGATTTTGATAATACAAATACTAAACACATTGTGTATTCATTAATATTTGCTTTCAATCTAAACACATGTATAACACTTTCAGATATAAATCTGAGAAAATAATTTAGGAACAGGTACATAATTAAAATATCTACAGTTGTCAAGAAAAGTACATGTACATATTGTACAGTCAAAAATGTTGTTCTTCAGGCACAAGTACATGCAGTCATATATTAAGAATAACTTGTGTAATAAAAGTAAAGTTCTGGATGTTGTTGATCAGGCATAGGTACAGTCATAGAATCTGATGTTGAATTATAACCTGTGTATAAAGGATAGGAACATGTACAGTCACGGATGCCGTTGATCAGGCGAATGTATATTTACATAGTCATTGGTATTGAATATCTTGTAAATACTAAACAGGTTTATGTAAAATGCATGTTTATACCTAATGCCTAGGTCACATTTAAGCCGATGGTCGGGCGGCTAAATTTTTCTGGTCTTGTCGGCTGAAAGAACATGACCGACCGATACAGTATCGGGCGACACTGAACAGTCACATTGATTCCTAGTGACACCGATGACTTGGATAAATAACACAAAAAACCTTTTTCCTTTGGAATTCAGCAATATTTTTTCATAGATCTATATTCAGATAGGTGACGTGTTTGCAGGGCAAAGTGGCAGGATCTTATAGAATTGTGACTCAATGTTGAAAATGTTTGCAAAATTTAGTATGGAATTGCATAGAAACGACAAATGGTGCATATCTAAGCAGCAAAGAATACTTAAGATTTCTTTATATCTTACGGGTTAATTACGGTATTCATGTTATTTCCGTTCAAAAAATATATATCAATCCGTGCATCAAAATTTTACTTGTGTTATGTATCCTTACTAGGTAAAATATTCACAAGTCGGCCAATCGTCGTCCGATCATCGAGCTCTGAGCTACAGTTTGATTTTTAGCGTCGGCCGAAATTTTAAACACTCTTATTGTCCAACGACGGACGACCGACTTAATAAACTGACCACCGATGGTCAGACGATGATCGAAAGTTGGTCGACGGATAACTTCAATTGAAGGAATAGGCCATCGACGCATTAAAAATTATAACTTGGACCGATAGACAAAAAATTGGTCGGCTGACAAAAGAAGAGTTCAAAATCGTGCCAGACAACGGCCGATGAACTGACGACTGTCACCCGAAGAATCCTATTTTTCCTTCAAAACCCGTCGGACGTTGGTCGTTTTTTGAAATGTGACTGGGGTTTTAACTCAGACACAGCTGCATTATGGATGTTGTCCCTTGTGTATACATGACAAGTTTACTCCTGGATGTTGTCAGTCAAGCCTAAGTACAGTTATAGATGTAGAACAAAGTGTGTATAATCGACAATTAATGTCGTTAATGAGGCACAGGTGCAGTCATGGATATTCACTGTGGTAAATGTTATGTTTTAGCGATTTTGGCGATCAAAACAATAGAAGGTTGGTTCTTGTTATCAAAAGTATTGAGAATTTTTTTGTGAAAGATATTTTGAATATCTACAAAATATAGCTTTATAAAAAATCAAAACAAAAAATGGGGGTGAGTGTGCTTCTTAAAGCATAATGGAGCAATTAAAAATACCTTTTTGCACTACAATGATGCCAAATAAGTATATCAATTTTTCGAAATTTTCAATTAAATATTTTATCGAAATTATTTATTGGGTCAAAGAGCCTTTTTTTTTAATCTTAAATAGTCACATTAAAAATTGTTATAACAAAAAGTGACACATTACTTCGCATAGTCAATTGTTTAACCATTCTGCACTCAAACATTGTCTTTTTTCTTGAGTTTAAAATTTTAAAAACAATAAAATTCATTGAAAGTACGTAATGTCAATTTGAGGAATTTACATAGAGTGGTTAAAATTATCAAATATTCAGAAAAAGAATTTAAAAAATGGGGGTATGTGATGTCAATTGTTAGATACTACAATAGTTCTAATTTGAAGCTTAAATTGTGCTATTTTTTTTTCAAAAAATATCACGACATTTTTTATAATATTTGCCAAAAATGTTGATAGAATTAATTCATGAAAGTTAATTTTTTAATAAAAAAATTTGGACTAGCATTGAACATTTCACAACACAACATGCATGCTGCATGTTAAAAAAAAGGAATTTTAAAAAGAATTGATCTTTTTCCTCTAAAGAAAAACTTCCACCACAAAATATTATTCCTCATTATTTTTTTTTTTTGGTATGAAATTTAATCTTTGGGTTTTAATTGAATATAGTTTAATTAGCATTATACATTTATAGAATCCAAATTTATTGAATGAACTAAAACATTAATACGTAGAATTTTTTAAATAGAGGTCAAGATAAATATCTGCTGCAAAGCTGAGGAGCGAACCTCGTAAAGCATAGGAATAATTAAAGTTTAACGATTACGGACTTCCATACAGTAAATTTTTTTCGCTTTCTTTTCGTATTTTTTCATTCAAATACAATCTGGAAAAATCACCATTTACATGAATGTAGATCCTATTTAATTAGTTGAGTCTAAGTTGAACAATTCGAGAATTCGGAGAATATTGCTCTGACATTCTGTCTTTATATACAGGAACAGGTATGGAATCCCGGTACTAGTATTGGCTAGTACAGTTACTTGTAGATATTAGCTAACAGACACTTATGGTATAACCACAAGCTTATATCGAATACCATTAGAATGACTTGGATGTTGACATGATGAATTAAAATTCTAATGTTTGTGCTAAACAAAAAGATAATATTTAACTTTGTTTACTTGTCATATTTTAATCGTTATTAACCTGACCAGCCTTTCATACTTTTTATTGTCTGTGATTTCAATTAACTGACGTGTGTACTTTGCAAGATAAAGAAAATAATACAACCATAGACCCTAAAATACCCGAAATTTATACTTGACATGAGTGAAAAAAATATAGGAATGACAATTTTTAAGCAATGTATAACAGGTGTAATTGTTGCAATCATCGTTGGATCTATTTTCGTTTTCGATGCAACGTTAAAGGATTTCCTACGAGAAGCAAGGATTCGTGACGAACAGTTAGCGTTTCTTAAGCAAAAGGTCAACAAATACGATAAAGATTTTTCACTTGTAGAAGAGGAAAACAAGGAATTTAAACAATTGCTAAGGCAACTGAACAAAGAATTGTCACTCATCAAACAGAACAACACAGGTAAGCGGAAACACTTAATTTTTTAAATAATATTGCCTTTATAAACTCGAGAAATAACATCTGTCATATAAAAGGAATATTGGATGGTAAATGAATTGTTGATCAGGATGGTGCAAATACTTACACTGAAAAAAACACAACGATTTTTAAAATTGAGTATACAGATTTTGTATTTTAAAGTAAATAATAAATTGATTGGATTTATCTATCGGTCAAAAATTGAGTCAGTGAAAAACTGGAATTTTTCTTTACTCAAGCATAATTCCTATATACGATATATGTGCCAAACTTGTTCAACGTTAGTCAGTTCAATATTGAAATGATTAACTTTATGGATTTAATTTGGATTTATCACTTGATCATCCATAAATCTGCTGACAATTTAATAGATCTCCATCGAGAAGCAAGGGTACGGGACGAACAGTTAGTTTTTCTTAAGCAGAAAGTCAATAAACATGATGAAGAGTTTCCGCTCCTGCAAGAGAAAAACAAGGAATTACACCTATCGTTAACGCAGCTGAAAGACGAATTATCAATAATTAAACAGAAAAAGACAGGTAAACAGGAAAATATCAATTTTTATATATTGCTTGATAAAATCGAGGAATAGCATCCACTATTCAGTGGTCTATTGCTTGAGTAAATGAGTTTTGAATTACAAAGAAGCATATGCTTACATTTTTTTTTTCAAAAATAACCAATCAAATTATCATCATATTAAGATATTTTACAAAGAAAATATATTTCAAAGCAGTAAATGAGAAAAAAAGACGCATTATTAAAACTTCTTTTAAGTAAAATTTATTGGACCTGTCTATCAGTCAAAAGAAAAACCCAGAAGTGAAAAGTAGAAATTAATTCTGAATATACAATGCAATGTAATTTCACTTATGTCTGTTATATTTGTTGCTTTTCTGCTTTAGAACATTATTTTGGCGAGTGCCTGTGGTCAGATTACGTGAACAATTTTGACCAGGAATTTACCTACGCCCCCGAGAGCTATGTCATTTCCGGTGTTAGTAGCTATCATCAGAACGCTCAGGAGTGAGTATTCTCGTAGAAAAAATAAAACAAAATGGAAGTTAAGTTTAGCATTGATGCATAATCCTTTATCGTGTTCATGTTCTTCTTCGCCCTGTAATTATAGTCCTGCTGGACACGTTATTACAGGTAAATATAGTTAATAATGAGGACCTAAGATCACTTATTTTAAAATGACCTAAATATAGTAAACCCCGATTCTTCAAATGACGTCGTAATTTCATAAATATCATGGATTCTGTTGAAAATTACGCCAGACGATGAGCCAGATATGAAAAAGAAGACGTTGACTCCTTGTCAGAATGGATTAAATGTATCAAATCCATGTTAAGGTGGAATAACCCTCTGATAAGAGAGATAACTTTCTTCAGACATTTTGTCATGAAATTCAGTGAATTGTCATGTCAGAGTTTACAAATTTCAATCATAAGGACCATTTTAAAGTCAACTCAGTCAAACCTATTCTATTGTACAAATGTTGATTTCTAGTTTCTATTGCTAGTATATTTATTAATTATTCATGATAGTTTACTTAAAACAGTTATGCTCAGTTCCTTTAAACAGTATAAATTGAGAAATCTCTATCTCTTAAAGTATATAATTCTTTTAATTGTACAGAAATTTCAGATGCAGTATTGTTTATAAACATTTAATTATTATTTTGTTTCATTAAAAATATTTTCAAGGGCGATAATGGAACGATAACTCTTGTTTATGGATGCGTGTTATTTTACATGCACAGAAAACACTTTGTTATTCTGATTTAAAAAGCAGCGCTTCAGTATGTATTCTAATGGGAATTAGATAGGTATGATAGTAAATATTATTTTTATATATACCTCATATTTCTAATTTAATTGTGAGATAAAAAATATTTAATCTTTCTATTAACATATCAAATTTTCTTCACATCATGATTTGACATATTATTCATTTCTGAAAAAGTAAGCAACGCTTCATACTTCAAACTATTTTCCATTTGAATTTAATGCTCTAGTTGTTGCTGAAAATCAGTGTCTGGATTTTAAGAAAAAAGTCTTGAAATTTGGAGCAGAGGGATATTGCCCCTTAAGGTCTCAAAGAAATAGAACGAAGGTCAATATTAAAACCATATATCCTGTGTTCAATAGTTAAAAAGTTAAAAAAGAATTAGATAGATTACATGATCAGTATAAACTGGTCCCTGCCGAAAATGCAGGTAACAACTTTGTCTTTGTTTTAAAGGTTCATTATATAAATTGCATTTTAGAAGAACTTGGGTTTAATTCTACAAGTGGTAATCCTACTTATACTCATACTTCCCTTTTTAAGGAAAGAATTCTTGAAAATCATATGTCAGCCAAAATGAAATTAACTACCTTATATATATATATATATATATATATATATATATATATATATATATATATATATATATATATATATTTTAAATATTTTTAATATTCCCCAGAGCCAAAATGAAATTGAACTACCTTATATATATATATATATATATATATATATATATATATATATATATATATATATATATATATATATATATATATATATATATATATATATATATATATATATATATATATATATATATATATATATATATATATATATATATATATATATATATATATATATATATATATATATATATATATATATATATATATATATATATATTGGATTTTTAGTGCCGAAAATTCATAAAAATCCTTAGAAACAAATATACATTGCGGGTTCCAGTAGATATTCAACCAAGCCTCTTTTTATTACTCCTCACATAGATATTGACTGTAGCGAAGGAAAAACTTCAAGAGTACAGTGCAACAATATATTCAAGAAGTGTTGTGAATCAGATGTGGATACTCAAAAATCCCAAAGAACTTTTGGACAATTTAAAATCACAAGATTTTACCAAAATCGACAGCTTAAAAACTTACCACTTTTCAACTTTATTCACAACCATTCCCCACTATAAAATAAAGTCCAGGCTTTTTGATATCAAGGACAGCTGCTTTTTCAATAAAAATGGAACTCGTAAATTTACTTACCTTGTCATTGGTCATTTGCAAAATTATTTTGTTAAAACACATTCTGATTGCACACACAAGTACTCTGAAGTTGACATCAAAGAGCTGAGTTTCTGATTGACAATGTCTATGTTGTTTTTGGAGACCAGGTATTTCAACACTCTATGGAATTCTCTTGGGTACCAATTGCACTCCCTTATTAGCATACCTATTTCTATATTCATATGAAGCAGAATTTGTGCAAAATCTTATGCGTGAAAAGAAGAAAACACTTGCTGTGGCCTTCAACTCAACATTTAGATAAATCGACGACATATTGTCAATTAACAATGGTAATTTCCATTCCTACGTCGATACTATATATCCTGGTGAGATTGAGATAAAAGATACCACAGAGTCTGACACATCTGCATCATACTTAGATATTTTACTTGAAAAAGACGATAATGGAAATCTAACAACCAAGCTTCATGATAAAGGTGATGACTTTAACTTTTCTATCGTCAACTTCCCTTATACTTATGCGGCAATATACCGTCATCACCTGCGTATGGAGTATATATATATCAGTTGATTCGATACGCATTAACATGCTCTACGTATGAACAATTTCTAAAACGAGGTAAATTATTGACAATAAGTTGATGAAACAAGAACATCGTAAGTTCTATTGTCGAGACCTTTTCAGCAAATACAATTTATCATTGAGTCAACTGCTGACTGACGTTTTTTCATACTAATTGTTAGTCCATTATTTTTACAATGAATTGACCGTTTTTCCGTTATTTCCTGATCATGACAAGGAGCACACGGCAGGTGTGAACGGTCAGCAGGGGATGCTCACACCTGATCCCACCTCTGATGTTTCGGAGGTCTGTGTTTGCTTTGCTCCTATTTTGTATTGTTTATGGACTTTGAAATAGAATACTATTCGCTAACTTCATATGCTTCATTGACAAAACGCCCATATATAATCCCATTTTCCTAAATAATAATGAGGTTTAAACTTAATTCAAATGAATTCTTAATACCCAACGCAATTTGATCTTAAAAGCATCATACATGAGATAAATGTAATTGAACGGAAAACATGCATTTGATAATAGATATACGTATAAAATTATATACAATTAAAGGAAATGTATGAATAATGCAGGCTGAGAATTGCCTACATGCAACAAAACACAAGATGATAAATAAAATCTCAATTATAAATATATTTATATCTTTAAAATTTCATCTAATATCAAGATATACTTTAAATAAAATCTCTACAATTTGAAAAATTCAAAGATTGATATTATTTGCATGGAAGGAAAAAAACTTAAGTCATTTTAAAGAACAGTCCTACCACAAACATGATCTAAGGAGGATTGCCAGTTCAAAACTTTGTATCATAGTTCTTTAAGATATCCTTTTGTTATGGTGTTCGGATAGGGCCATTCGCAAAAGCTTAACAACACCTTCAGAAAAATGCAATCACGCTTACTCACAACACATTTCTATTGGTTGTTTAAACATGCTTTCAAACAACACTCTGTTGAGCTTTTGCAAATGACCCTATCCAAACACCATACTTTTTAACTATACATTCAGCATTAAAAGACCAATATACATGTAAGCTATTTATTATTTTAAAAGAACTTTTTTGATAATATCGACCTTTCAATGCTGAGACCATGAAATACGAAGGCTGTTCAATAAATAATGTCCCGAACTGTTTGACATACAATATAGAACTTATATGACATTTAAATGCTTGATTTTCTCTCATAATTAAATTGTATCTTTATTGAATTGATTACAGTTTCTGTGACCACTTTTCATAACATAGTTTCATTGTGAGAATTAAGCTTGAAAACAAGGGCTTTTGGAGACACTGCATTAAAAATGAAGGGTAAAGAATTAGTAAACAAGAGTATTCACTGAAATATGTGTAATCAAGAGCAACCAATGTCTGTTTTATAGACACATGAGCATGCGGATTTCAATTAACAAAATTGATATAATGGGCATCAAAAATAGGTACTGACGTTGGCGACAAAGACTTACAACAAACAGTTTACTGTTTGCCAAAATATAACAATTATTACTGATGTTTGATTGACTTGATGATACAGCCAAGGTCTGAGTAGAGCAAAGAATTGCAAAAGCACGAAAACATTTTTATGTGCCATTTTCTTAAATATTAGAAACTAGTTGTTCTATTTCTTATTCGGGGAAGTAGTAAAATTTCTGGAGCAGTATAGAAAGCAAATTTTTGCAAAAAAAAAAAAATGAAATGTTTATGAGGAGGATCAGGAATCCACTACAATAAATCAGGAATCCAAACCAACACTCCATAAAGAGAAAAGTAGTTTTGGGGATAAAGAGAGAGTTTATGTTTTGTCACACCAACAATATTCGCCAGATCTTTCAACCTTTGACTTGTTTCATCTTCCAAACTTGAAAAAAAAATTCAGAAAGAAGAAACAAGTCAAGGAAATCACAGAATCTTCCATATTCCCGTATACGAAGGGCCATACTAAAAGTTGTGTTCTTAAAACAATCAGAAATTCGACAAAAATGTTCCTGACATTGCTTTTAATCTAATATAAGTGAAATTATTAGGGCTAAATCATTGAAAAGCGTTTTTAATTTCTTTCTTAACACCGAGGACATTACGTATTGAATAGCCCTCGTAATGGGGATGTCTCAAAGATTTATGAAATAAAAATTATGCTAAAGTTTTCCTTCCAAAATGTTGCACTTCACCAAAAAACGTGTAGCATAATGCTAAGTGTGTTTGTCTCCAAATCAAGAATCTCAAAGTCAAATGATCTTCAGGATTTTCTCTAGTATTTAAGTCGTACTAATATTTAATTATAATTATCATTATTTTAATTAAAGCCTATTTTTTCCGGAGAACGTTTTTCTCAGAAAAAAAGTGCTTATAATAATTTCATAAATTCAATAAATAGAGCTTTGGTTCATAAATATAATCAACTCTTACAGCTATCTAATTTTTATAAATTTAAAGCTAAAGACAATATGCACGCTTGTTTTACCAATCTTCTTTTTTATATATTGTTGGTTAAGTTTCATGTTTTAATTACATTTATTGTAATTGTATCGATATTGTATGATACATATTTTTGTCGTTTTCATTGATCTTTTATTCTTTTCTTTTTTTTCTCATTAAAGGGATCGTCGGTTTAAGTTTAAAGTGTGCAAGCTGCTGAGAAGATAAAGAATTTTAATAAAAATTTTTCCGAGTCCTTTGTTACGGAATTGACTCTTCGATCAATACTTCGTTATATACGAGGGGTGTTAGGAAAGTTCGCGGACAAGTTCTATTGTGAGCGCGCTATTTCCACGAAACCAGTCAAACTTTCCAGATAAAATCTTAACCTATTTTCCAATAAATATAAAAAAAATTGGTGCTCTCAAGTGATCATTGAAAAATATACAGCTTTTTAATTTTGATTAAACTTGCTTGACGGAGCATGTTACATTTTGGCAAATTTACATCACGAAGACTCTTTATAAAAATTAAAAATTGCACAATTTTAGCGCAAAGAGATTTATAATATTTTTCCTGTCGCAAAAGTATTCATGAAACGTCACTGGGAGAAATTTTGAATTAAGTTGGATGGTATTGACTGTTTTATAGCCATTTAAAAATGATCAACTCGTAAAAACACAGCCAAAAATCGGAACGTCACTGAGCGTCATTGAGCACTGCACTACGTAAAATTATGTGTGCAGACAGTAAAATGTCTAAAAAGAGATTGAAATGTTCAAGATGCTGCCGGGAATTCCTACACATACAAAGGACATTTTTCTAAAGGTTGAAGCTTTATATGAATGGAAGGAGTAACATTTTGAATGATTAACTCCATGGATACTCCAATACCCCCTTATCGCATTGTCGTTGTGTCTATACGGTTTTGCATAGTTTCCATACCTGATCGATTAATTACTTTTTTTGAAGATCTCAATAATATCCGAATCAGTACAATCTGAATAAGTAAAGAAGACATTATAGTTAAAAAGTAGCATATCTTGATATAGATGTTCAATTTTAAAGAAAAAAAAAAGACAAGAAAAATCTGAAGAAATGGGAGATTTATAGAACGGCGACAAAGTTTAATGGGTTGAAATCTGGTTGTCACGTCGCCTTACGTCAAGTGATTGCTCCGTAAATCCCATTACCTCATAGTAAAAATCGTTGTAAATTTTCAAGATTTTAGTAAATAGACCTGATTTTTGACATACTAATAATCAAAATGTAGGAATAAATTCAGACATAGGTCATACTTCACAGTACACAACAGATTTTCTGTAATTCATTGTGTCCGCGAACTTTTCTAACAACTTTCGTATTTTCACGAAAAAAATGGCTCTGAGTAAGAGTGTTCAAGGTATGCATTTTTTTTTCACTACAGCATTAGTTCTACGACTTTTAGGATAGAAAAATATATATTCTTAACCCTGCATAAAGTTCAACGTCACGCATTTTTAGATTATAAGTAATCATTGTGTTGTAATGTATTTTATTTGTAAATACCGGTAATATTACACAAATGAAATTTTGTACCGAATGTATCTAACCAAACGTATTTGTTATTGCTATTTTAAAGTGAATCATGTATCCGGATGATTCTATTAATTGGACTATTTTTTTCTGGAGGTGGACCTCCGAAATAAACATGTGACACTGTATTTTACTGTCTCATTAATATTTGTATATACATGTACTTATATAATTCAATAAATAACTAAATGTATGAGTTGGATTCAGTTTATACGTACAGTTCGTATTATTGCTTTAATAGATATGCGAAATGTATCGAACTTTTTTCAATTAGTGGAATTTTCTACTTAATATGCTGCATATCACCCTATCACCTGCACAATTACAGGTTTCATGTCTCTCAGCTTATTCAAGTTGCATGAGCATGCGCATAATATAATTGCTATTTCTGGAAAGGCGTAAAATATGTATAACACAAAACTACCAACGACCTCCTTCAAAGCCTTCATTTTGCAAGTTATGTGTTCGATAGAATGACATTTTTCAGCAAATACAATCAATCGTTAAGTCCAATGTTGACTGATGTTTTTCATACTAATTATATGACCTCTATTTACACACGGAATTGCCTGCGGATATTTCTTTTTAAAAATCCCTTTTATAAGAGCTAGGGATATTTGGCGAGTGTGCCCGGTAAGCAGGGAATACTTGTATCTCCATTTGACACCTAATCCAACCTTTAAAATCAAAGAGGTCGGTGTTTGCCCTTTTTCTGATTTGAGTTGTTTAAAACTAAGATCTTGTATGCTGTTCGTTTCCTCTATATTTCATGAATATTAAACGGGTGCAGAAACTAAGATACAGAATTACCGTCATATGATCAGAGCAGACTCTAAAAAAGGAAGCTTAAACACCTTAATGTGTTGGTAAAAGATAAACAACCTCAGCATCAGAACCTAATGAAATCTTAATGAAAAGATATTTTTCATGGAAAGAGAAAATGTTGCATATTATAAATTTCTTAAACTACTTAAAACACAGCCTTGGAAAACACATGATCTGTGTCAATCAAGTTGCATGAAGGTCCATCATTGTACATGTATGCTAGAACTTGAATGACATTTACTTCCTAGTCCCTGTGTGTACCCTGTTAACCTTGTTTGACACTTATTGTGACCTTCAAACTAATTTTTGATCCTGTGCCATTTACTGCAAGTGGTTTAGAGGAACTGTAATAGTACATGTATCAGAAATAGTATCACTGTTATTCAGATAAATTATGGTAACAAAGCCTTATTTAGATTAGGATAATCCTGAGGAAGAATGAATAAAGTCTGATTTGGTTGTTTCTGGTGTACATGCATTTTGCATTCATTAAACACAGAAAGAGAATTAATGTACATTTACATGTAAAACTATCTTCATGAATTTTTTTTTATATACTTGTATTTGAATTAATTTTCCTTTTAAACGGTGGGGGCCTCTCACAATCATTCAAACGCAAATCATTGAAATCAATATACATGTAAATTCTTGGGGTTATACTGAAATTACAACTTTTAACTTCTAATTTTAAATTGTCTAAAAATCCCTATTACAGGTAGTTTCTTTTTTGGTTATTTCAATGTGCATTAAAGGTACTTGGACACTTATTTGAAGTTAATATTTTCCCTATAATATGACGACTTATATATTTTAAACAAAAAAATTACACAAAAATTAATTAAAAATCTTATTTCATTTAAAAGTTATCAAAACTTTTTTTGACGGGTTTGATTGACACATCCTTGCACTTTCACAAATTTTAATTTAACTCTTACTACATAGGAAAAGTGGCAATCTTGTTGCGTATAAATGAAAAATATTGATACTTTAATCCAGAAAATTTAGAGTAGACATGTTCGAAAGCAAAAAAAAAAAAAAAAAAAAAAAAAAAAAAAAAAAAACAAAAAAAACCAAAAATATATTGTCAATCCGTGCAGTTGTGGTGAGCAGACTTTGGTGATTGAACGCACCCGGTGAATCGTAAACATCAACAATAACAGAGTTCGTGTCCAGTTTACAACAAATGTGTACATAACACGATTGTGATCGATTTGCTAAACTCTATACAAAACACTTCGCTCGGAATGACGATACTTGTGAAGGGGTTTTGCTTTCTATGATTTTTATTCTAAATAGAATTATTTTTCTGGAAAAAAATGTTTTAATATTTCTCATTAATACACAACAAGATCGCCACTTGTTGGAAAAATTAAGAATAAGTTAAAATTTGTGAAAGTGCAAGGATGTGTCAATCAAACCCGGAAAAAATGAAATTTTAATAACTTTAAAATGAAATAAGATTTTTCATTAATTTTTGTGTGAAATGCTATTACATGTAAAATATATAATTCGTGATAATATACAGAAATTATTAATTCCTAATTTGTGTCCAAGTTCATTTAAATTACTTCCTACATATATAGGAATTAGGAGACAAACGGTCACAATAAACTACTAGCTCTCAAGGCATTCACACTGTACAAAATAAGCCCCTCTCTCCCTTACCTGGAATTATCAACCCGTTGAAAAACCCCTGCCTTTATGTAACATCCATGGCATTAATTATAACTACACAAAGAAGATGCATTTTTCTCCTCGTCATCTGATTACCTCTGGAATTTCAGGGGTCCGTGATTTTACTTCTTTTTTCCACATATTTGTATTGTTTATCAATTTTTAAGGTCGATGACTGATTACTTTCTTAACCTATTGTGCCATTCATAAAAACTTGACAAAATGAGTGGCAACAGTATTTTTTTTATTCATATGCATTTTCCCGAAAAACAAATATTAACGTTGAAAGAAAATAAGGGACATGTTACAACAGCTCTTCATACCAAAATAATTGCATTCAATATAAATAATTCTACATATATTGATCATATACTGACAAAATTTAATCATTTTGATAGTATTATTTTTCAACTTTTTATACCCGCACTTTCTAAAGAAAGTTCAGGTATATTGTTGTTACTCATGTCCGTCCATCCGTCCGTCCGTCCGTCTGTCACACTTTTCTTCCCTGAACTCCTCCTACATTTTACACAGTAGCTTAATCATCTTTTAAGAGATGGTT